GGTTTATTTTAGATATGAGGGAAAAAATAGTCAAGGTCCAGTGTGAACTAAACCACCCTGAGCCTCACCATGGGAGGAAGTTGAAGGAGAGAGGGGAGAGCCAGGAGACTAAGAGGCTAGGAGGTTAAAGGGTACCAAAATGATAAAAGGACAGAGTAGCCCAAAAGGCTGAATCATATAGGGAAGAACAGCAGGGGGTTGGGTAGCCAGCCCCTGGGCTGGAGAGTTCAGGGGAGAGGGAGTCGTGCACCAGCCATACCCTGTAACAGGTAGGGACTAAGGGATGCTTGGAGAACCTGGCGGGTGTTACATAGTTAACTTCAGTTAGCCCCCTGGCCCAGGTTTGAGACCTAATACCTTTCACATCTTGTACAGTAACAATGTATCTATGTCACTCAGATCCCCACTGCAGATAGTTTTTCACTTGAAACAATGCTGAGTATTGCTCAAAAACTACCCAGCTTTCACTACCTGACAGCAGCATATCTGAGTCCACCAGAAAAAGAACAGAGCTTTAAGCTTCAGTCTTAAAATGCCTGTCTTCCCCAACCCCAGGAAATCTGAACCCTGCACGGGCTTTTCTCTTGCAGACTCTAGCCCACTTTCCTGGCTATGTCCAGATCCTGTGCCAGGTTAAAAGAGATGCTGGAGCTTTAATCTCAGCACTTGGGAGGCAGAGGCAGTTAGTTTGGTCTCTGTGAGTTCAAGACTAGTCCAGTAGTCTACATATTGAATTCCAGGTCAGACAAGACTATATAGTAAGACAATATCTCAAACAAACAAACAAAAAATACCCCCCCACACAAGGAGGCAGAAATGCCCTCTCCCCAGAAAGCAATCATCAAAAATCCTTGAGACACAGAATGGAATTAGAACCTCAGATTCTCACTTTTTTTTTTTTTTTTTCTGTGTGTGTGTGTGCATGTTTTGGACCAAACCTAGAATCTGGTATACATGCTAGTCAGACACTGTGTACCTCAGCTATTCATTCATTCATTCATTCATTCATTCATTCATTCATTCATTCTTCCTTTAAAGAAAATATGGAATGTTTCACAATTTTCGTGTCATCTTTGAGCAGGGGCAATGCTAATCTCTGTATCGTTCCATTTTTTTATTAATTTTTATTTTTATTTTTTTAGTATATGTGGTGCTGAAGCAGGAACTCTTTCTGTCTTTGGTTTTTTGAAGTGATCTCTCTATGTAGCATTGGCTGTCCCATAACTCATTCTGTAAACCAGGCTGGCCTTGAACTCAAAAGATCTGCCATCTCTGCCTCCCAAGTGCCGGCATTAAAGGATTAGGTGTGCCACCACTGCCTGGCATTTGATTGTTTTGGTTTGGTTTATTTTGTTTTGCTTATTACTGGCTTTCCCCCATAAAGAGTCAGTGTTTGCCTACTCACAACAGAGCTGGTTCAGTCTCCTGCCACCACTCGGCCGCTACAGGAATGTGATTAAGGCCACTCTTTATAGGATTCTCAGTTTCCTCACCTGGAATCACAGGGACAATTCTACCTACCTCACAAGAGTTGCTGAAATAAATGTGATTAAACAATGGATGAAAAAGCACTTTGCATTATTTTAGGTGTTTTGTAGACATTAACTTCTTTACCCTTTCGTATAGCCAGTAAGCCTAAAAAACACACAAAAGAGGTAGGAGGATCTCAGTGAGTTCAAAGCTAGTCTAATCTACATAGCCAGGTCTAGGCCAGCCACTGTTCCACAATGAGAGCCTGTCTCAAAACAAGCAAACAGCAACAAAACCTAAGCAAGGGTTATGAATGGAAATATTTATGTCTTATGGAAATGACCACAAGAGCTTCTGTTAGAACCTGACCTTACAGAGATTATATTACACACTTCTGTGGAGCTGGGATCAAACCCAGAATCTGGCATATGTTAAACATGCATATTGACCTACATGCCCAGTACCTACATCACACACACACACACACACACACACACACACACACACACACACACAGAGAGAGTTCTAGAAGGATATTTCCCCAGTGTCTGTCTATTCAGTCTCAGACTCACACTACTGTTATTAGTCATTGTATCCTGAGACTGTTATTTCAAAATATCTGATGCAATCCTCTTCATTTGAGTCTTTTAAAACTCCACCTTGGGCCAGCAAGATGGTGGATAAAGGCACCTGCCAACAAGCCTCAAGACCTGGGTTCGATCCCCAGGACCTACATGGTGGAAAGTGAGAATTCTTGCAAATTGTTCTCTGATCTCTATTTATGTACTGTGGCAAATGCACACACCTTTACATTCGAAATAAATGAAATGTAAATGTTAAAACCTCTCCCTTGCCTCAACCTGTTTGCATATGTGGATAGATTCCCATGGCATATACATTACCATTTAAATATCTTGCTATGACAAATATCAGTATTCTTTGGAGAATCTCTTCCTCTGGCTCCACCCCTTATCCCTCCTGGTTGAAAAGCATATAGTAATTGAGGTGATTTACATGGGCAAGGCTAAAGTGAAGTTTCAGGCTGTGAGGAATGAAGTCTGCAGAATGTTTGCTTAGCCAGCTCTATGGAGTCTTTTCTAAGAGGCAAAGCACAGGGACTCTGCAAGCATTTCTTTCCACACAGCAGAGCTTTACCTGGGAAAAGGTTACATATAGCATAGAGGAACAAGCAAACCCATCTCTTCACGAGGAAGCCTGAAGAGCTTTTCATAATGTTGAATTTAGCACAGAGGATCAACCCTAAATATTCAAAAGAAACACTATTTCTTTTGAGTCAAACATACTCCAACAGCATGGATTTTAATTTTTTTTAAAAATCTATCTATCAGTATCTATCTATCTATCTATCTATCTATCTACCTACCTACCTACCTATCTGGCATTCCACAGCAGTGTGAAGAGGTCAGAGAACAGCTTACAGGAGTCAGTTCTCTCCTTCTACCATGTGAGTCCAGGAGATCCAACTCCAGGTTACCAGGTTTGGTAGTAGGTTTGGTAGCAGGTGCCCTAAGCACTGAACCATTTCACCAGCCCCAGGGTAATTTTAGGTGTAAAATTCTTAGCATTTCTTGATCTTGTTTGGAGAGTAGGGTAGAATGAGAAATGAATAACTATTCCTCTTAAATTTTAACAACATATCTAGTATTTTGTCCTTCAGAGGTGTCAACAGGTGACTTTGTACCTTAGGATTAATAACAACAGAAGTTTTAAAAACCCCATTTTGATGGCTCCAGGTAAAGGGGGGGAGATTCCTCTAGCTCTTCCTAAATGGTAGGGCTGGATCATACACCTTGTATGAACCCTATTCTGCTCATAGAACAAGTACCTTCTGGAAGATAAGTTCTTCACTCTTTCCTCAGCCTTAGCTCCCAATAATGAACAAATCTACCTCCCAGGCTAGAGTCATTAAAACCCACAGTCATATTATTTTAAGGATTGAGGATTGACAAATATCATATATGTTTCTTTAGTTTTTGAGATAGGGTTTCTCTATGTAGCCCTGGTCATCCTGGAACTCGCTTTGTACACCAGGCTGGACTTGAACTCACAGAAATCCACCTGCCTCTTGTCTTCTGAGATCAAGGGTCTACAGCACTACCACCAGGCTTTTAGAATATATTTTGAGTAAAGCCACAGTCTTGAACTCACTATATAGCCTAGAATGATTTTTTTTTTTATAGACAGGGTTTCTCTGTATTGCCTTCCAGCCTGTACTGGACCTAGCTCTGTAGACCAGGCTGGCCTCAAACTCACAGAAATCCACCTGCCTCTGACTCCCAAGTGCTAGGATTAAAGGTGTGCACCACCAATGCCCAGCTGCCTAGGATGATCTTGAATGTCTGATGCTCCTCTCTACCTCCCAAGTGCTAGGGTTATGGACACTACACTCAGTTCAATGTTTACCTTTTTAAAGTCTATTTTTAAAGGTTTATTATTATTAATTGTGTCTATGGGTACATACATGTAAGTGCTGGTGTCCTTACGAAGGCAGATACATCATATCCTCCTTAGCTGGAGTTACAAGTAGTTGTGAGTCAGCCAGCATGGGTACTGGGACTCTGACAGGTAATTGCTCCTAACTCCTGAGCTTCCTCACTAAGTCAGAAGTTACATTTTCTAAATGAACTGGTAAAGACAGAATAGGCTTATGAGAGCCAAGGGTGGCCAGTGGTCTAACAGCAGCTTGGATAGCATACACTTGGGAAGAAGTGAGGGCCTGTGGACGGGGCTCCCGTTACAGAAGCACCCCGTAAACATTTGCTTTGCTTTGAATACAGAGTCTCAATCAGATTCATAACATGCCCAAGTTTCTGGACCAGAACCACACTAACATAAAAGGAATTGGGGACTGTTGGCCCTAAAAGGAGGAAAGAGAAAAAGACATGAGGTTTTTAGACTAGAGTCTTCCTGGAAGTTCACAATGAGATTTCTACTTTACCCAGTTGGGCTTGGCTCTAAACCCCAGAGAGGGAATTTAGAACAAAGCTCCCTCTGCCCTGGTTTCAGCTGTGTGTAAAGGATGTACAAACAGCCCAGCCCACAGTTCTATGCACAGGGGAGCCTGCATTCTAGGAAAGCTGGTGGGTTCAGCTAAAAACATCTGCCACATTCCAAAGATACCTAAACAGCCAGGTGTCAAGGGCTGCCACCAGAGAATGACCAGCATTGCTAAAGGTGAAAACTGGTGGACTGACACAGGTGGAGAAACATCATCAGTGGATGAAAGAAAAGGTCCTTTGCTTGTGATGCCCCCCCATTGATATTACAATGTCACTGACAGTCATACCCTACTACATTGTCAGTCACATCCAACCACAAAGCTACCAGAGTCATAAAGGCTGTGAACCAGAAAAACTGCAGCTTCCCACATAGAGGGTTAAGTAAGATACCTGCTAACATACTCAACCCCATCATGGGGAGGTGCTTTGGAACACACACACACACACACACACACACACACACACATACACACACACACACACCACGTCCTCCCACACCCCTCTACTCACCTGATTACCAAACACAGCCACGGAGCAAGCTGTTGAGACTTCATCAGCCCCGAACCAGACCGAAGCAATGCGTGAAGGCATGCCCAGGATGAAGACCTGTGCGACCGAGCAAATGATCTGACCCACCACTGTGACTGGAAAGAGGTGGGGCTCCAGACTGCCTAGCTTCACCCAGGCCCCCAAGCAGTTGAGAGCTGAGCCAGTGATAGCGATGGCGCGAAGACCAAATTTCTCCAGCATCCAGGCCACAGGCAGGAGCAGAGGGATGTAAGTCAGCATGTAACACATGGACAGCCAGTCGATGGCAAAGGCGCTGACGCCATAGAAGGTCATAAAGATGTTATTGATGGAGCCATACTGGATCCACTGGAAGGCGTTGCACAAAGAGTAACAGCTGAACACCAGGACCACGGCCCAACGGCGCTTGCTCACCTTGATCATGCTGCCTTCTGGACCTGAGCTACTGGGATGGGTCACGCCACTGGGCTGAGCAAAGGTACTTGGGGGTGCTGAACTGCTGGGACGGACAGAGACACTGGGGTCAATGGAGACGCTAGGATGGATCGAGACACTGGGATGAATGGAGACGCTGGGATGGCCTGAGACGCTAGGATGGATGGAGACGCTGGGATGGCCTGAGACGCTGGGGTGGATGGAAACGCTGGGATGGGTGGAGTTGCTGGTGTCCGTCTGGAATGCTGTCTCGGGCGGCGCAGGGTTGTCATTGCTTTCCTCCTGGTTGAGACTTTCATTCACCATGACCACAGCGTGTTCCTGAGCCCCGGACACGAGCTGACCCCTACAGTTTTACGGGCCAGTAGTCTTTTGGCTGTCCCCCTAGAGCTGAGTGGACCCTTGTCCAGGAGCGAATCTCTCTGTTGACCGAGAAACCGAGACCGGCTGATTAGGGGCAGCGAATGGGTTTCCCGCGCTCACTCCCAAACTCTTCTTGCTGGTCCTTGGGAATCCTTGTTCCCTTCCTCCCAAACTGTTGTCCCCAAGTCGACCGCAGACACCTGGCCACGCGCTTCAGGCTGTTCTTGCCTGGAGTTCTCAGATGAAGTGTGGACCGTCCTCGAAAAAGTTTGCTCGCTAAACTGCTGCTGGGCCGGCTCGGTTTGCTCCCGGGCAGGCTGGGGCCTCGCCCCCTCGGGCGCACGTGACCGCCCCGCCCCCGGCCTGCCCGGCTCCCCACGCCCCGCAACCCCTCCCACCCAGGCTCCCGTGTCTTCTTGAGCAGGGCTCGCAGGGCACCGCGCTTGTTTCGCCATAGCTTGGGGTGCATTCCTCCACCACGTCCCGGGCACCATGGAAACCGCCCTGTTAGCCCCCACCCCTTACACTGCCCCTAAATTCATTTGTCCCCCCACTCCCAGAGGACTCCACTGGACGATCCCGCCTGTCCTTCCGAGGTCAGAGTCTTCTCGGGGCCAGCGCGCGTGCACCGAGGCCGGGGGTCCCTAAAGCGCTCAGGGGGGATCCGAGATAGATTCTGGATTTTCTTCCTCTTGCCTAGGCTCCCTGCCCCTGGCTAAGCTCTCCCGGTGACAGGTGTCCCTGATGAAAGGGGCTGAGGAAAGCTAGCTTTTTTCGAGGCCCTCCTACTGGACAAGGTCTTATCTTGGTGAACTGGTACATGAACTTGAAGGGCTGATAAGTCTCTGACGGGTCCCTGAGGCCTCCCACGAGGGACCCCCGCGAGCCGAGCACAGCCCAGAGAAGAAGCTGTCGGAAGTGCAGCTGGCTGCTCTGGCTCTGGGAATGGTGTTAAGCAGTTCTGGCAGTCCGCGGCTGCCACCTGCTGATCCCCTGGGAGTTGCCACTTCGCCACCTTGAAGCAAGCCCCGCAAGGATGGCGTGCTGAGTTGAGCCAGTCCCTACCAACCAATCTCATGATAGTGATAAAGAACCCAAGACTATAGGTCGCTGCACACCAATTCCGCACCCCAGTTTCTTCTACAAACTGTGGGTGGAAAATCCCTGGCTGATAATTCATTCCACAAATGATGACTATCCCGACAAAACTCCAGCATTTGTTGTACTGGGGCAAACATGTTTAATGCCTTACTTCATATGTGGGCACCCTGGGAATTCTATGATGTAGTTACTATTGCTCTCCGTGTGTGCGTCTGTATTCGTGTATGTATATGACATATGTGTATGCTCACCAGGCTTTGTAACCAACGAGCTAAGCCCTCGGTTCTCTTACCTAATTTCACAGATAAGAAAACAGAGCCTCTTAGAAGAGAGTTAATTTCTTACGGTCCTAGCAGGCCTGAAGAGCTATACTTCTCATCATTCAATGTACCACAGAGCTGAGCACTCTGGACAGCAGCCTGAGTGGCTCCTACGAACCAGGTGGTGGCTTTGTCTTGTTTGAGACAGGGTTGCTCAGTGTAGCCTAGGGTGACCTTCAGCTCCAGGTCCTCTTACTCCCCAAATGCCGGGATTACAGGTAGGTGTATGCCACCATGCCTGGCCCCTGAGAGCTTGTTAGAAGGGAAGAGCCCAGATTCCCAGGCTCACCCTATACTTCCTATGTTAGAAACTGCATCTTAACAAAATCTCCATTGTCTTTTGCCCTGGACACCACTGTTGCTTTGCCCTCTCTACCCCCTCTTTTTTGAAGTTCTGGGGTGGTGTTTACAATACGACTTGCACATTAGAATCAAGAATGAGAAGTTGGACTGGAGAGATGGCTCAGTGGTTAAAAGCACTGGTTGCTCTTCCAAAAGACCTGGTTTCAATCCCTAGCATCCACATAGTGGTTCACAACCTTCTGTAATGGAATCTGATGCCTTCTTCTGGCATGCATGAGGAAAGAACACTCAGGTTTATAAAATACATAAATAAATAAATCTCATTTTTTTAAAAAAATGGGTAGTGAAGAGTTTAAGAGGCCTTAAGGATTTAAGAGGGCTTGCTGCCTTGCCAGGGGACTTAGGTTCAGTCCCCAGAACCCACACTGAGAGTCTCACAACCATGTGTAACTCCAGCTTCAGGGAATCCCATACTCTCTTCCAGCTTCAGGCACCAGTGCACATGGGAGCACATATACGTAAATGTAATAATAATAATAATAATAATAATAATAATAATAATAATAATCTTTTAAAATAGAATCAACTGGAATGTGTGGTGTTGTAGGGTGTCCACCAGAGAAGGCTGCTGGAATATGGGTTTTAAGCCAACAGAAAGTCTTTATTTGCGAGCTGGAGGCTACACTGGGTATTCAGGATCCCATAGCACCGAGTCTTTCTCAGGGTGATCTTTTAAGCCCAAAAACCATTTGCTGGGATAGCACACCTCAGTTAGCAAGAAAAGTTAGCCAGACGCAGGATCGCAGAAGCCAAAATGCAAGGTTAGTACACTTGAGACTTTCCCAGAACTATGGACTTTGAAGGATTTGGTCTTAATTTTCATTTCACCAGGTGGTACTGTCTACATGGTGAATTTCATGGCCTGAATGGTCATACTTACATCATGGTGTCAGTTGTGCTAATGTCTGGAGCCCTATTACAGGTGCAAGATCCTTAGCATCCTAGATGTGCAGGCTGACCCCCCAAATCAGTCACCTAAGGACAGCCACTTAAGGGTTAATCCTAACACAGCTGAATTTGTGTGCCTCCAGGGGAGACTTACTACTGGTTCCCAAGAGAGAAGACCAGCTTTGCTAGTTCTATTGGGTGGATAGAATGCTTCCTGGAAGCACGCACTTTTTTTTTTTTTTGGTAGAAATTATGGAGGATTCCATTATATTATGGGATATTTGTAAAGAGAACTTACACCCATTGAAGAGTTTCCATACTCACTTACTATCCCATGCTCTTCCAGTCCTTTCAGCAATCTCCTCCTTCTCCATAGAATATAGATCATCTGCTTCCTTAAAAGCCTTCTGAAACCTTCCTTAGGTGGCCCCTTGCCAAATTCTTAGACCAAATTTTTGAGACAGGGTTTCATATAGCCCACATTGGCCTCCGACTCTTTATGCCTCCTGCTTTTCACTTCCCAAGCGCTGGGATTACAGGTGTGGGCCACACATGTGATTTATTCAGGGCTGAGGATCAATCCCAGAGCCTGGGCATTGCTAAGCAAGTGTTGTATCAACTTAGCCACATTGCTAACCCTTACATTATATTCTCCATTTGTCAGATAAGGAAACTGAGGTTCTCTCTCTCTCCCTCTATGGTGTGTGTGTGTGTGTGTGTGTGTGTATGTGTGTGTGTCTGTGTGTATGAGAGAAAGAGACTTGTTCTTCAGATTTCCACGTTAATCAGTATCAGAAAAGACAACACTAAGACAGGATGCTCTTCCATGTGGCTCTTTCCCCGTACTCAAGAACAGTGCTGAAGTCTAGACCTAACCCAAGACTCTAACCTGAGGTTCAAGCAATATGTGAATTTGTTTGTGTTGTACAGTGGGTCACGTTTGTTGTGAGCTCTGGATTGGGTCTACTTAGATTAGAAGTACTGTTCTTTGGGATCTTGGTGGAGGGACTTAATTTCTCTACACCTGTCAAATGAGCATGATCACTCCTGATTCAGTAAGGCAGGGTGGTGCATGCTTTTAATCCCAGAACTTAGAGGCAGAGACAGATGGATTTTTAAGAGTTTGAGACAAGCCTAGTCTATGTAGTGAGTTCCAGGACAGTCAGAGTTTACATGGAGAGATCCTGTATCGCAAACAAACAAACAAAAACACACCACTCCAGACTTTCAGAATCACACACACACACACACACACACACACACACACACACACACACACACACGTATATAATATATTATTTAAATGTCTTTCGGTAGTAAAAAATAATGCTAGTCAGGCAGTCACTAGAGTAGTGTGTATGCCTGCTTGACTTCCAACAGGGGGCAGACAGCATTATAAAAATTAGGTAGATGTTAAATAGAGATGTTCTTTATTCATCCATCATAAAGACATGTATTGAGTAACATCCTATATTTCTCTTTTCTTTGTTTTTCATTTTTTCCCCAGACAGGGTTTCTCTGTGTAGCCTTAGCTGTCCTGGAACTTGCTCTGTACACCAAGCTGGCCTCAAACTCAAGAGATCTCCCTGCTTCTGCCTCGTGGGTGCTGGGATTAGAGACCTATCCACAAGCACCCCTTGAGGGAAATGGGCCTACACATCTCAGGGATTTCTTTCTGATGAAGAGCTCTGGTTTGGGGTTGGATGAAGGAACCTCTGTGACTGTGAATTCCAGCTTTCCTACCTCCTGTGTGGTTAATAGCGAAGTTTGACCCCTGGTAGTTAAGAGCAGCTTGACACAGAGTGCACAAAAATTGAAGTGATTAAATGTCAGCCTCCCACCAGTTAAACAAGAGCCGTGGGTATGGGAGACAAGGAGTTCATTGAGGGCCTGGGAAGGCTTAATTTCCAACCAAATGAATTAGATTGAGTTCCCCAGAATTCCAGTGCTTGGAATTTGTAATGCTGTTCTTGAGTCATTTTTGAGGAACTTAGATGTGTACCACTGCCTGCTGGCTAACAGTCTGTTTGCCTTACCTCCTTCCCCACACTTCTCACAAATTCTAAGAGCTTGTGTCTATCTTTGTCTACTCTAGAACATTTAGTGAGAGAAACTATATTGCATGCATCCTCAGTTCGAGTCTATAGGCTCAGCATGGGGTTTCAGAAAACTGAAGACAAAGAGATCTAACATGTCAGAGAGACTGGGGGAGGAGGACAAAACCCCCATTGGTTTCCTAAGAGCTATTCAAAAGGCAGGTCTGGGTCTGGAGAGATGGTTAGTGGTTAACAAGGACACACTCTGCTAGTTCATTGGACACCGGTGTTTCCCAGCACTACTCAGACTGGCCAACAACTCCACAAGCCTCCAACTCTAGGGGATC